TAAGTCGTGGGTTTGAATCCCGGCATCGGCAATTACCGCATTTTCGACGGATCCAAAATCAAGATAATAAGGGCGGCAGCGCGAGCACGAAGGTGCTAGAAGAAACGTGAAACGAAAGGCGAGGCAAGGAAAGCAAAGAGGACAACACGAGACAACTAGCTCAAATAGCCGCTCTTATCTAAAATCAACATGTGCGGGCTTGTGTTCTTGGGTTTATATGCTCTTGTATAGAATCCAAGATGGTCTAAATTTCCGGTGCCCTACAGGTGTCACTCGTAATTACATCGTGGCTTTGGTGTGTAAGCCTCAACAATTATCATTGACGCGAAAAGCAAGCAGTTCATCTTGTACGGAACGGCATCGACTGAAGAGACTACGGGCATTTTATTTTGGTGGCCAGGCGTGATTTATAACTGCGCTGCTTTGTATGTGCGGGCGATGTTCGAGTGCACGCCGAAGTTAAACGGTCCTCGTTTCTTTCTTTCGTCTTTGTGAGTGGCGTAGCGGCCGTTCCCGGAGCCTGGCTGGCCGCCAGAACTCGGGTGCATCTCTATCTGTCTGCACGCGCCATGCCCCGCTTCCCACGGCGCCGGTAGCCGAGATTGTGCCGACTCGTCGTGGTGTATGTATATAGCGTCGCCGCTAAGCACCACTATTTAGAGACTTCTTGGGGACCTTCGACGTCAAAGTTTTGGTCCGTCCGTCCGTCCGTCCGTCTGTCTGTCTGTCTGTCTAATTGTCTGTCTGTGCATTTGTCTGCGAGTGGTAACCATTTTCCTAACGGCACCAAACGATACCTCAAACGGCCAACCCCATCCGCAGCGCCCACCAATATTGCTCAAGTTTCAGCGTTCATACTTGTGTGATTGTCAATTAAAAAGCAATTATTGCGCATAACTGAGGCACCATAACAACACGTCGATGTTTTGTATGTGTGCCTTTATACTAGAGAAGGCACACACAAGTAATACTAAGGACCGTAGCATCGCGTTGCACTTTCACGCTGCGCTGAAAGTGCAACGCGATGCTCAAAAAGGCAAGTGTTTCCAACGTTTTGGTGGTGGCACCTGCCCGTCGCTTTGCGTTCTACGCCTTATCGCCTCCGAAACAGGCGCGCATCTCACTCCGCGGGCGCGCACGCCTTCCTTCGTTTTGGAAGATAACTGCCAGAGAGCGCTCGTGTCTGACGTGCATCGATGCGCTCGTTCGCCTTCGCTGCACGGATCGAGACTCTCTAACGCAGCGCTTCCAGAATACAATTCACCGATTTTCTCACGCAGAACGTGAAATAAACGTTTTGTTCACTCTCTCCACCCGGAAAACTGTCGTCTTTCAAGGAGACTTGCAGTGAAACGTGCCAATACGGGCCCAACTTTTTAAAATATATTTATGCATATATGAAGGGCGAACTTCGCGCTTCCGTCGGGACGATTGCCGGCCGTGGCGGCTTGACGCACGTGCTGCGTTTTGCGGTTGGTGGCTGAGGAGGAGGATGCAGGTTCGATTAATGACTGCGTTAAAGGCACTGGCATGGGGGCGAAAATTCTAAAAACGCTGGTGTATTTCGCTTTGAAGGAGGTCGCTTTGAAGGAAGGAGACAAATTCGCCTCGTGTCATGCACGGACGAGGCGAATGGAGGGCGAGACCGGTGTTACCAGACTATTCTGGTGGCTTGTACCGCTGGTAGTTACACCAGCTGCTGACGATGAAACCACCAGCGTGCTCTCCTGGCCGTAGCAAGTGCTACAGTGTGTCCACATGGCTGCCCGAAATTCTGCTACATCCTCCACCGCTGGTGGATGAAATGGTTGTTCCAGACAAGAGGTCACCGTCTGCCCCGAGGAGACGTGGGGAGGTCGCGCCTATACTCGTTAATCCGTGACGTCTTTGTCACGTGATCCGCAATTCTCGCTTCTCCCCCGAGGGTAGCAAACCATAATTTTTTCTTATCAACCTTGCTCTCTGTCTTTCTCTCTCTCTCTTCTCCCCCGAGGATTTATCTACAGTGTTAATACCACTTCACACGCTTTGAAGAAACTGGTTATTATCTACAACGTCCGTTCCTCTACGTGGAGTCGGGAATGAGGATGCTACTCGATTGATCGCCGGAAGCTGGAGAAGTGACCGTAACGCTATAGCCCTCGGGAAGATAAAGGCAAGAGTAATCATTCGGAACTCCCAATATGCGCAACTGTGCCGCCGAATTTGGGGAAGACTATTGGACGTTGGCGCGTACGTAGTGTAAAAATAAAGGCCGCACTTGTCACATAGGCCCCCGCCCACACCTCCTGGAGCAGCGGGAGGCGGCCTGCTCCATATTCCGCTTCGGCGGAAGTGGCTGTGGTGTTCGGATGCTGAACCGAAGGGCGCGGATTAGATCCCTTCCGCACTTCGGTGCAACAAGCGAAACGGTACAAGGCCCGTCAATCGTGCGATGTTGAGTGCACGTGAAGGGACCCGATTGATTGATTGATTTGTGGGGTTTAACGTCCCAAAACCACCATTTGATTATGAGAGACGCCGTAGTGGAGGGCTCCGGAAATTTCGACCACCTGGGGTTCTTTAACGTGCACCCAAATGTGAGCACACGGGCCTACAACATTTCCGCCTCCACCGGAAATGCAGCCGCCGCAGCCGGGATTCGAACCTGCGGGTCAGCAGCCGAGTACCTTAGCCACTAGACCACCGCGGTGGGGCCGTGAAGGGACCCCAGGTTGTCGAAATTTGCGGAGCGACGTCTCTGTCCACCGCAGGCCCGTAGAGCCAGGGTTGGGCGTCCTTTCCTAGCCCCCCCCCCCCCTCCTTCCCTTCTCCCCTTGCCGGTGAAATGCCGATTGTAAGGGCGTCTTATCGAGAATAAATAATGAAAAAAAGAACACAATATCACAGCATAACCACGGAGTGAATGATGATGAGGGGGGCGAAGCGTCTGTCTGTCTGTCCGTCTCTATAGGACAGGGCCGTCTACTCTATGGATAAGGGAGACGCTACTGGGTACGGACCTGGTCTTTTGTTTCGTGTTCTTCGCTGTGCAACCAACCCATGCACGTGGAAGCTGCGTTTGCACGAATACGACCGTACTACGTAGCGCATCGCGGCAACACTGTGGCACAGCGTTCACATGTGTGGTATCCGCTTTTTTTTTTTCGAAACAAGCCGAAAATCAAGCGGTTTCCTGTGGGCGGGTTTCACCCATGTGGGTGTGTGTATATGTGTGAACAGGCAGAGTATAGATGGCGGCAGCTATAGCCGTCCCGTGTTTCCGTTCTTCCTCGATCTGGTGCGCTGACTTGAGCATGTGTTCTGTAAACTATGTAGCGCATTGACGTTGGCCGTCCACATCTTAGGCCCGTTATCTGTGTGATGTCAGCGCGTGTTAAAAACGCCACATGGGCGAAATTTCCGGAGCCTTCCACGAAGATGTTTCTCATAACCATGTGGGCGTTTGGGACGTGAAACCCCACGTATTATTTTTATTTGTATTTACAGTTTACTGTGGTTGAAAGACCAAGCAGTGGGACATAGTAGAAAGGCATTTCACAGTTTAACACTAATACATGGAAATTTCAAGCATTGAAAACATGGTAAAAGAGTTGAACAAAGAACAAAAAATTAAAGGACAATCTAAGTCGCAACTACAGAATTTAAATCAAGTGCATTGTCGAGATCTGGTGCTGTATTATTAAAAACAGAAAGATAGATAGTCATCATCATCTAGATAATCATTATCAGAGAACGCTTCAAAAGGTAACTCGGTATTATTATCAAGTTCTGGATTGGGTCACGAATCCTTGCAGAAATCCTCCGGTCGCGATGGCCACCCGGGCTAATGAGCGTACTGCGCGATGGTAAAACGTTCCTAAATTGCGCGAAATGACTGAAACTTTGAGTAAGAAAACGCACCGAACAACACTTGTCTTTCACTCGCATATTGGTCATTTCGTGCAGTTTAGGAACGTTGAACAGCAACGAACCAGCTCGCCTTTATCGCAACATATCACTTCGCGTCAGTGCCGCTCGTTTTCGGCGCGCAATGTCGGTGCAGGTCGTGAAAGTGAAACTTGAGGTGCTCGCCGGGGCCCTCGGTTCCCGTATAGCGTTTGCGAAAGCTGTTCGGGAGGGCGGGTTGCCCTTTCGGACTCGCGGCTCGAGCCGGGAGAAGAGGGGTAGGGGGGGTCGTGACCGGCCGCGCGCGAATCTGGCAACAAGTGCTTGTTCGGTCTTATCGCTCTCGCTGGCGTCGAGGCTTCGTTATTTGCTTTGTTCTTATTTAGATTTTGCGTTTCGCTCGCTCGTCCTTCTTTCTCTCTGTCTGATAACGGCGGCGCGCACACACTTGAGTTCGCAGGCATGCCCACGGGCTTTGTGATAGCGCCGCTCGACCGAGAGCCTCCCTGTCTCTCTCCTCCATCTCTTCCTTTCCCTCGCTCGTCTTATCAGCTGGCGTTCTTATCGGCCGCCCACGAACCCTCGCTGACGCGGCCAGTCTCGTCCGGCAAACCGCTAACGTCGCCAACCGACGGCTTCACCGCGTGCATTGCTCCAAGTCGGCTTCGTTCACGCGTCGACGACTCAATTTCGTGTCCAACGTCCGCCCCCCTTGGTCGAGGAAATGGTGTGATGTGTGATTGACAGTTGTGGCGCCCATCTCGAATCACGTCGTGCGTGGCCCCGCCGGAACAGTGACTTCCGAACCTTGCGTACGTGGTGGACCGGAGTGCTTATTCTTCGGGAGGCTTTGGTTTTTTTCCTCAGTGGAGCTGAGCTCTCTTGTTATTCGGATATCGCACCCCTCGTGCCGAACTCCCGCGCCTGTTGTGTACCTTTATCTCTCCCCCTTATCTCTGGCCCCATTGTCTCGAGCGATCACGAGTTAACACAGCGCGCTGTCGCCCGGGACACCGATTATCAATCGCGTTCCATCGACGTGAGACGGCTACTGTCGAAAGGCCTTACGCCCCCCCTTTGTCGATTGTGGTTCTGTGTGGTCTCGCCTATCTTTTTTTCCTGTCGTTACGTATCGTTCCACATTTTGGAATCGCACTCGCTGCTTCTAATAGCGTTTTGCTGCCCTGTTGTGTTGCTAAACGTCTCTTGGTGTCACGTGTTTTTTTTTTTTTTTACAAATGTCGCAAATCGTGATGTGTTCCTGCTAATAGTCGTCGTGGGTGTCTCCTACCACTAGCACCTCTCGCGGCTGCCGAAAGAAGTGACCACGTGGTGTGAAGTGCGTTCGGCTCAGCGTCGTCGAAGACAACCGCCTCCCGCGTGCTGGCCGGCACTGACCAGCTTATAGCTTTGAAAGCGCGAATGTGGACTCGTGTGATTCGTTGGAACACCTCGTCCAGCTACCTGGAATAACCGGTTCAAGTGTTTTTCCGGCTGCCGCTTCCATTGTGACTGTTGCTACTGCCGTGACTGTCGTTACTGTTCCGAGCCTGCCCCCCTTTTGTCCCCCTTTTGTTGTCCTGTGTTTCGGAAACTTTCCGTCGCGCTAAAGCCCGCCGTTGGTGGTCACCTGTCCTGTGCTGCCCGTTGTTTTGTGCGGTGTGACTGTGCCGAAGGCATGACCGATAAGGAGATTGCCAAAATAGAGGCGATCGTCGAGCGTATTTGTCCGAGGTGAGTGGGCGGCCCTTTCCCGAGCTTTCTAGTCTTCTTTTTTTTTAATAATTTTTCTGTTTGTCTATGCTTTACATACGTATATATACGGTTTTGTCTTTAAGTTGTTCGTCTTTCGTACTGAACGTGGACTGTGTGTGTTTCATGCGAGCTTGTCTTTTAGTGTGATGTGTGGGTAAAAGAACGTTCTGCTAAGCCTACCGCCTGGTCGTGGTGTCACGAACGCATAGGAAAGGGGGAGGGGAGGGTTCGTTGCGCAATATTTCGTCGGCGTCTTTGTTTTCTCTTTCTCTCTTTACACTTCGCAAAAACTTTGCGTGGTAACTGCGGGATCGTGCAGGTTGATGACTGCGCGCTTTCGCCCGCATGGCTGTCCGTATTCGCTGCAATGGCGATTGCACGCGACTCTTTTACGAATGCTAGCGCTGTCAAGCTGACGACATTAAATACTGACGACAAAAGGAAGGTACCATAGGGAAAATAGTGTCACTTCGACGCTGTGTTAGTTTTCGTCATTTTCCTTTCACCTGTTGACTGCTGCAAGCATTTTGAATTTTTTTTTTAATTTCATAATACTGTCAGCCCTTTCTTGAGGGCTCTTACAGGGAGGGTACAACCAAATACAAACCAAGCAATATACAGCTATGCCGGGTAGTAGCGCAATCAATCAAAATACATGTGTAACACTTTATCAATCAAATCGGCAAACACTGCCTGCATTTACAGCAATGCCTGGCTACGCATTTCAAGGCTTAAACGGGGCTGAGAGAAAAGGAAAGAAAAACTCAAATCAAGAAAACATACAGGCTTATCATCTGGCAGCTCAATGACTCAAATACGTGTCCAACAATTTTTCGAATTGGCAAAGATTGCTTGCATTTACTACAATGCCTGGCAACGTATTCCATAGCTCAATCGCAGCTGAAAGAAAAAAAACAAAACAACGAAACGCATCACTGCGATAAGAGCACGGCACTGAAACACAGTCGTGATTAACCCGACTGCTTCGTTTCCCTGGCACTTTTAAGTAAATATTTGTTATTTTTTTAGTTGTCCTTGCAGTGTGCTGTGAAAAGCTTTCAACAGTTTTTTTTTGTCTTCGTGCCTCACGTGATTCCAGTTCACAGGACTCCCAACATCTGTGTGACAGAATCTAACCGGTGGTAATTCGTGCAAAGTATGAAGCGGTCGGCACGGCGTTGAACTTTTTCTAATTTTGTTTTCACGTTGTCTTGATGAGGACTCCACGCGACTGAGGCATATTCTAGTAGTGATCTAACGAAGGTTTTGTACGCTACAAGTTGTATATCTCGCGTAGCTTGATGTAGTTTTTGTCTTAAGAAACCTAATCTTTGATTCGCTTTCGAACAGATATTGTCTGTGTGTATGCCATGCCAAATTTTGCGTAAAAGGCACTCCCGAATATTTCAATTGGTTAGCACGAAGGAGGCATCCAGCGGTAGGCCACCGCCGGGAGAAAAGACATTCGAAATCAAAAATTTTCCGGCTGCAGAAATAATATTAACTCCCCCCCCCCCCCCCCCCCCCCCCCCCTATCACACCCACTGGCTCACACCTGCGTGGAGAGTGGCTTGGGATTTGCATGCAACGTACCCAGTCTTTGATTTTATGATTCTGAAACGGGATTGTTTTATGCTGCTTGTTGCCACGCCACTTGTAACTGCTCTCGCGACCCGTTCAAAGCGGTACTGTTTTGAAGCCCTACGTTCCTCCGTTATAGCACGCACGCGCACACACATGCACAGAACGCAAAAAAAAAAAAAAAATCAAACAAACAATGTCAATTGCTTCAGTTTTAGGCCATTAGTGACTGACTTACTCATAGGCTGCAGCATGCGATTTCGTGTTCGCTTGCGTTACGCTAAACGCCTCGTTTTGAAAGGAGGCGTCGGCGATGTCGCTTGTTTCTGTACGTTCTGAGCTAGTGGTGGAACATTTCCGCGCGTAATCGTTGCATGTGCGAGTTCTTCTCGGCGCGAGCAGGTTCTCGGTCGTCCGAATCGCGCGTGGCTGAGCTGTTTGGACACCGTCCGATAAAGGCATTACGTACGTACGTACGTAATGTACGTACGTACGATAACGCTCGGTTGCGGTGTACCGCGGTAGCTCGGCACTGCAATGTCAGAGCATACTTGGTGGCGCCACTTTTCTATAAAGGTGCGAAATCAACTTGCACGGCTGATTGTGCGAGTCATAGGTGGGAGTCTTTGTGAGACATATTCAATTATTCTACGTAGCGGCGCGGGTTATGCGCCGGGCGTCCGCCTCGGTGCGATCAGTGGCTAGGGTGGCTCGTCTTCCGACTCGAATGTCTCCCGTTCGATCCCGACTGCAGCGGTCGCATTTCGATTAAGGCGAAGTGGCAGAGGCCCGAGTACTCCGCAATGCCGGGGCACGTTAAGGAACACCAGATGGTCGAAATTTTCGGAGCCCTCCACTATACGGCGTCTCTCCGTAATGATGTTTTTGCTTTGGGAAGTAAAACCGCACACGTTACTATGGTTTTACGCTGGGGGCTCGTTACACGCTAAAAAATACGGTAAACAAAACTGCCTTGTCCTCGTCATATGTAGCGCAACAATTTTTTTTAAGCGAGAAAATACGTCACATTTCGCTATTCTTTTCCTTGCTTTTTTGTTTGAGCCTGCATGTTTCTCTGTGTCTGGTGTTATCGTGCTTTGCTAGACTGCTTTTCGTCGATACCCTATAGAGCCGTGTAATATACAAGACCGCAACCCCAACTTGCAAAAAAAAAAAAAAAGTATATGAGTCGCTTCTGGAACAAACTACAAAAACATCACGAACACGGTATGCAACTTGGGGAAAAAATTTTTTTTTTGGCAAAATAGGCACAGCTTTCACTATAGGCGTGAGGCTGAGTCCCGGCTTGACTTAATATATATTAGGTTTTAATTAGTCTTAATTGCCATAATTGGGCCTCGGGAAGCTCATGTACCTCTTGTGAGCTTTATTCTATCGCACAAATTATGTAGTCCTAATCAAAGTGATCCTAATTAGCACTAACGGGGTCTAACTACACTTCATTGGGATCGACACTGTCGGTAATAACTAGTGCCTTCTTGTACTTGGCGTCGCTGGCCTCATTGGGGATTCGACTAGGATTGCCTGCTTTCCGTGGCTTATATCTTTTCCTGATGACATTTTTTTTTCTTTTTCGATGACGTGAACTGACATAATGAAAAGCTTAACAGCCGCGCTGTTAGGGACCATGACAAGCAGTAAATACATTGTATTTTCTTAATGGCACCTAACAAAATACGTTGCGGGGCTAATTGGGGACACATGTAAACTTTGAAAAATTGTAGCGCTGCATTCGACAAGCAGAGAAGCGAATGGCAGAGGCGGCACTCATTCCAGCTAATTTTATAGAAACTACACGCGTTGCACTTTATATCAATAAGAGGCAGCAAACGCATACGCAATCATGAGGAAATGTGGGCAGAGGGGGGGGGGGGTATTCGTGTAGACTATCACATTGTGCTTAGCACCTCAAATTTACTGGTGGCCCATCATGGTGGTCTAGTGGTTGAGGTACTCGGCTGCTGACCCGCAAGTCGCGGCGGCATCAATCCCGGCTGCGGCGGCTGCACTTCCGAAGGAGGCGGAAATGCTGTAGGCCCGTGTGCTCAGATTTGGGCGCACGTTAAAGAACCCCGGGTGGTCGAAATTTCCGGAGCCTTCCAACTACGGCGTCTCTCATAATCATATGGGGGGGGGGGGGGGGGAGTTGGAACGTTAAACCCCACATATCAATCATCTAAACTGCTTCACAAAAATGCTGTAATAATGTCACTTAATAGTAATCAATCAGTCAATCAATCAAATTTACTGGCACGCAATCACGCATGCAGATGTGGTTCTGACGCGCGTGTCGCATTTCTGCTCGACGAATTGCACGTATGGTAGTTCGCGAGCTAATCTGTCTCTATTTCTGCTTTGTATTTTAATTTTTTTTTCTCAAGCCGCGGTTTTCGTCTGCGTAGCGCTACAATTTTCAAAGTCGACGGCGCTTCAGTAAACGCTACTAATGCCTCCAAGCTGCCGCGCATGGCTGACACTAATTAGCACCGCGAGATCCTGTACTTGGCGAGTTAATCTCAGTCGTCGCTTCGAGGGCGCGGCTTCGGGGCTGCCATGTGGGCGGCGATTGTTTTTTTTTTTCGGCATCTCGCCTATCTAATCTCCTGTGCCTTGGTCGCGCTGGGCAGAGCCTTCCGCCGATAACGGCCGTCTGTATGGGAGACAGGCCAGCCCACATGGCCGGGCTGCGGCGGCAGTTATCGGCCTGACAAGCCGGCGCCCAAGAGGCTAGAAAACGGCCCTAGAAAAAAAAAATATATCGCTGTGTACTCAGTGGAGGACGTCGTGATTGCGTCGTTTTTAAAGACGATATTCTTTTTTAAGATACTTGAACACGGAAATATAGGTCGGTCTTTCTTTCTTTCTTTCTTTCTTCTTTCTTTCTTTCTTTCTTTCTTTCTTTCTTTCTTTCTTTCTTTCTTTCTGTGTGTGTGTTTGTCACACGAAACTAGTCACCCACCGGGCCAAAGTTTAAGCACTTGCAGAACGCCCATCCATCTTGAACTAGAGGCTACGTTCACACTTGCGAACATAGTCCATCAAAAAAGCAAATTTTGAGCGTATAGTGGTGAGCTCTGGTGTAGATTGGGAGAGAGCAACTGCTGGTGTGGCTTGAGGGGGGCAAGTGCCCCTTTTGTGGCCCCCCTTCCTATGCCCATACGCTCACATTAAATGTAATCCGTGTTCCCACACATTCATAATAATTGCTGGGGTTTTCCGTCCCGAACTGAAACCACGATATGATTGATTGATTGATATCTGGAGTTTAACGTCCCAAAAGTACCATCTGATTATGAGAGACGCCGTAGTGGAGGACTCCGGAAATTTCGACCACCTGGGGTTCCTTAACGTGCGCCCAAATCTGAGCACACGGGCCT